AATTCCTATTTCAGATTTATCATTTACTTGGTAATTCAAGTTGTTACGATGCTATTGCACTTCGCTAATCACTTTTTGCGCTTAATTAATACTATATGAGTATTTAAAGCTCTAAGCGTCTTCTTAGTGACACTGTTCGCTTAATACGTACACACACATATATATGTATATAGATTTTTTTTTTTTGTTTTTTTTTTAATTAAAGTCTGACCAGATTCGATCGACTTCTACTAGTACGTTTTATGAACAATAATTATATGAAAGGTATTTTGATAAATGATAATTTCACGCAAAGCAATTTTGCTTTGTATTTTTTACGCTCAATTTTTATACGAATGACAAAAATGCATATTGCAAACATTTAATTTTCACAGTTATTTTCATTTCTATGTTTTTTCTTTTTTCTTTTTTTACAAATACTTAAAATGCATTCGTTCATTTTGTATTTCGAATGATATGATATTCGTATGATCAACTATACAGTTGATTAAAGAGATGCTCATACTTTTACTTATATAAAAATTCGGTATTTTTAAATCATTAAAAGACATTGATAATGATAATTACAAACAGAATTATAATTATTTTATTTTTACCCACTCGTTAATGCAATACGTAACTTATAAATAGATTGCAAATATTCAGATTCCATAAAAGTCTTTTTTCATTAATTTTATTATTTATTAATTCAACTCATCGCATAATGTACGAACGAAAACAAATATAAATAAATCAATTACCATTAGTGTAAAAATTAAACCCGAATAAAAGAAGATATTTTTAAATATACATCATTTTTCTTAATTTTAAATGTTTATTGATAACAATAACTAGTTGTTAGCTTGTTAAAATTATTTCACACTTACACCTATATAATATCAATAAATTTTTTTTACATGATAAGCTTTAATAAACTTGATTATCACATATTCTTATGATGTATTTAATGAAACATTATGATTATTATCCCTCTTACCCATCGGGCAATTATATTTGTCACATTTAATATCATCTTGTATATACATATATATCAATTTATTTATTAATATATCAATATTACGCTAATGATGCTGCAATTAATTTTATCAGCTAGACTATTCATTTACTCTATTTAAACTTTTTTTGTCGAGCTATTGAATATCTAATAGCATAAATTAGATTTATCAATAAACAATGCTGATTTATTCGTCAGACATCATAATATGCGCCAATTTAAAAATAATCGTTCTCTATATAAGCTTATAAAAACTTATAAAAGCATTGAGAATTTCATTATCAAATATAAAATGTATTGAAAAGCAAATGCACAAAGATATTTAAAAACATTAAATACCTTACACTATTAATAATATTATTTTTTTTTTAATTATAGCTTTCGATTTATATAAGCATTATTAATTGGTAAAAGTGAACAAATGAAGCGAAACATTCGATATAAATGTTCAAATAATCTGTCGGAATCGGAAGTTTAAATTATTATATTATTATTACGTTACTTTTCATGATCATCATTTGTTGATTATGTAATCCATATAAAACCGTTATTGTTTGATTCGATGAAAAATAAATTGGCCAACATTTGAAGTAAATGAATGGATTAAAAACTGCTAAATTAATCGAACTACTTAAACTGCGAAGATGAATGATATATTTTTATCAAGAATTTTATATAAATGATCATTTTAAACGGCATATAATAAAATACAAATAAATAATACAAAAACTTATTTCATCTTACATTTAATCAACAATCTTTATATTATAAAATTATACGTTTAATTGTATTTTTCTACATTACAGTTTGATTACACGAATTTATTAATTAATGTAGATTCTTAAAATTATTTTCCAATTTCTTAGTATGAACTTTACATTTATTTTCTTGATGTTGAATAAACCAGTAGTAGTTTATAATTATTTCTATTTATTTATATATTCATTTAATTGTTAACCTTATAAAACAATTAGTGATTACAATTCTTCACATACGATGTTATTATGTACTTATCTTTAATAATGAGATACGCTTAACTCATTGTTTTCTTTTAATGATCTGCAACGTTCATAAGTTAATGATATATCACATTCCGTTTGATAATGGCGTACTTTACCCTTACGAGTGTAAAAAAAAAAAAAAAAACAAAAAAAAAATGAAAAAGCTAAGTAATCAAGAAATTTTATTCTTTAATTTATAATTATTTTATTCCAGAAATATACACGTATGAATATTATTTGATTTAGAAATAGTAAAATTAAATAAGAGAACGACGAGGCCCCTATCAGGCCCATAGTTTATAATTAATATTCATAATTGTATGTTTTTAATAATTTAAAATTTAAATCTTCTAACCAAATACAAGTCTTTATTAAACAATGAACATGTACTTTCTAATTTTCAATTGTGGCGTGCATTAGAAGTGAAACTGCTTCGTTCTTTATTTTATTTTACCCGCATTGCTACTAATTTTGTTTATACATTTATGGTTAACAAGCAATAAACGGAAATTTAATTATTAAATATTCATTGAAAATATTAATAATTTTAAGCTTCGTTAAAATTATTTCTTATTAATAAATAATCATTATTCCTTCCAAAGTATGATATTAATTTTTATTCAACATTAATAAATATTGTTTCATGAAGATATAAATGTATTTTGAATAATTTCACACATATATTAATAAAAAAATTGTTATATATAGAATATAACTATATTTTTATATATCAATTTTATATATTATTTGTTAAAATTTTCTCGATTAATTAAACATTTAAAAGCTACTTTATATTTATCATTTTTTCATTTTATTAAAAAAATTAAGAAATATATATTCGAGTTACTACTTAGTTAATTCACAGCATATCATAAGATTTAATGCGAAATGCAAAATCAAAATATTAAACTTAAGGAAAAAATGGTAACGAACCAATTAAAACTACATTAATAATGTAGAAAAATTACTCTAACGACATATTATCTATAGTTAATTATATTATTATGAAGATAAGCATTAATAAAAATTATTTTAGAAAGTGCATCAGTAGAAAGCTCATCGAACATAAAGATTTATTCGACTTCCTGGAATATTTGCAGCTTACTTCAATAATCATGATTATAAATGTAGTAATTTGCGATTAGTAGAATCATATTATATTAATAAATGTATGAAATTTATGAAAAGAGAGCTTTAAATAAGTATTAGTCATTTATTGTAGAAAAATGAAAAAAGATTTTTGGTAACTTTTTAGAATTTTATATAAATGTTAGGCTGGTATAAATGAAATTACTGATTACATTTAATATTATACTATTTTTAATTACACTATATAGACAATAAAAAATATGAATAAATTATTATAATTATTCGGATAAAAGGAAATGATGAGAATTTATGAAATAAGGATACGATAAGCATAAATAAGACATTGTTAAGCCTATGATATTTTCTGCTTACAATGCTTGAAGGAAAATTAAAACAAGAATAAATAATCGAATCAATAATAAAGTATGAAATAATTATATTAATAATTAAAGGAGGAATAGAATTCTAAAGTTCAAATTCTATTTTTAAGAACCGTATATGTATAGAATCTTGCCTTTAATTGATTCAAAAGGGGCAGAGCTTCGCAATTTAATCGGATAGTAAATAAATTATGCATATTAATGCGCGTACGCTAGCCTAGCATAATCGTTGATAATTAGCATAAACAAATTATACTTGAACAGGCCATGCTTTTATTATAATTCTAATAGAAGAAAATAAACAGACCACTAATGATTTAGAATTAAAAAGACGTTTATTGAAAAAATTTTTATTAAACATAATAAATCTTGTCTTTATTGCGAAAAATTCAATAAATAATTATAAAATTATAGTCAAATAACTACCCAATATCTAATAGTTACATAAAATAATAATTTTACAAGACGATAATTAGTGTAATAAATGTGTTTAAAAAAAAAAGAAAAAGGTATTCGATAAAGACATTATTTTTATAACAATATTTACGTTAGGTTTTCATTAATTGTCAATCATTTTAAATATAATCGATCGATAATTCCTTAACAAAAGTCAAATATCTAAGTTTAATGCACTATTGATGCATTAGCGTCAATTAAATAGAACACAAAAGCTTTATTACACGATTGAATTCAAAATCGCCAAGAGAAATTCTCTTAATCGTATTTCTAGTGGATTTATAGTGGTTAAATCGCTGAGTTTTTCCTATTTCTATCATCTAGTAATTTAATAGAAATTAATTTAAAAGAAGAGTCTTCGACACACGGAACATCACAAAATCGCAGGTTATTAAGACAAAGACAAAAAAAAACAAAAAAAAAAAAAAAATCCACCAAGCAAGAGTTATTTATATATTTATATAAATTCATTTATTACTAGATATAAAATAATTTACGTTACAAAAGAATTTCATTATTAAATATTTAGATGTGCATAAAGTTAAAGCTGCGCGCTCGGTCGCTCCTTTTCGTGCTAAACTCGTCATTTTCATTCGTGAATTCGGAGTTCTTATGGGGCTGAGACTTGAAAAAATCAGTGGTCGTATGGTGTTCGTTGACGAAGTAGTTGGTGTGCGATTCGTCATGATAATCGCTGAACTCGTAATCCTTTTTGTGATAGATGAACGTATCCTTCACGTAAATATTGCCAAGTTGGAAGAAGAATGGGCTCACGGGTCTGTCAAGCGGGAATCCCAGATTGTTGCTATATAATACTCGTTTGCCGAAAACTGGCAGTTCGTAGGTTATGGTGCTTTCGCACGGTCCAATGTAGAAGAAGAACTTGAATTTCTTGCCGTCGGGAGATCCTTTGGGTAAGTAAAGGTTGTGGGGGAAGCTGATTTCGTGCTGAGGTAGCTCGAACGACTCTTTGTCTTCGATAGCCTGATTAAGCTTTTTGTAGAATTGATCGAACGAGTAATGTGATTTATTATGTTGAATTGCTTCATTACTGTATCGTTCTATGCTATTTGTCCCTTCCTTTACTGCAAATGAAGCATTTCATTTAGAAGAATTTAATGTACGGATTTGGTTGTAATTTATCTTAATGTCGTTTGTAAATTATAGCTTAAGAGTACGGCCGATAAGAATTTGAAATTTATTCTACAAAACATGATATACGAGGGCAGGATTATACGACGTCGGTAATATTGCATTTAATCATTAATAGTAAAAAAATGTATTACTTCAGAGTATAGAGCATTTGCATAAACTTTTAATCAAAGATTTCCATTGTATTGTACTATTTTTTTTTTTTTTTTTTTTTTTTTTTTTTTTTTTTGCTATTGGACTTTATATTGCTTGATAAAGATGTATTTCATAGCGTAATCTATCTTAACAAAGTGGGAATAAAATTTGCAAATTAATGAAGCATAAATAGAAAAGCTACTCACAGTGCACTTCAAATTCATCGACCATGAAGAATTTGCTGTTAAAGTGAAGGAAATGTGAATAGTCATCGTATTGTTCTTCGTAGGAAGCTGGCCCAAGGAAAATGCGAATGACAGCCTTTGTCATTTTGTCAGAGTTGATGGTGAATTTGTAAGAGAATGGCTTGTAATTCAACTGATATTGATGGGCTTTGATAACGAAGGATTGTCCATTTTTCCACGATCCAACATTAACGGCATTGTTGATGAAGTAATGTTTATTCTCGAAGAACGTTATCAATTTACCGATATCCACATTTTCAAACTTCACGCCACTGAATTCCACTTCGTGCTTGGGATAGTGGCCTAATAAGGACTTGTGCCTAAAAGTGACGATTAATCGTACGCCTGAGATTTATTGACAATTCCTAATGACATTATAAGCAATTGCTTTACCTGTAGTAGAATTCAACGATTTTGTAGTATATTCTGTAGAATGCAGGATCTTTCATGCTGGTAGCGAAGTATTGAAGGGCACTGGGGACATTGTAGTTCTTATAGCGATGATCGTAGTGAGCCCCAAAGACATTACGAGCAAGTGCGTCGAAGGAACCATAGTACTTGAGATTGAAGGAGTCGTAGTTACCTTCAATGATGTTACCAAGGTAGTTAAGACCTTCGGGTGTGTCGAAGCTGACCTGTTTGCCACTTTCATCATAAAAGTATCCAGAGTCAATGGCCTCCATAATACGGATTTCGAGTTTCTTCAAGTACTGCAGAGGTGTATAGCAATACACAAGTATATTAGCTGTTACAATGAGATTTCACGATAAATGCAAACGAATAAATTGTACCTCGAAGTATTTGAGCTTATGGGCCGGCACGACGTTCCACCAGTCACGTCTTGGCATGGGAACACCGTTTGGAAAAACGAAGCTGTCATAGAACGGTGGTAGGATGAACTTGTCCAAGTTGAAATATTCTACATCGGTGAATCCATTGGAGTATCTCTCAAGGAAGTATCTGGCCATGAGTTGTTGATGAATGAAAAAGTATATTTTACCACGGAACATTTTCGACGTATTGTAATGGTTGGTGCTTATAAAGAAGGGGAAGGCCATACGGAAGTAATAGTAGTAATTGTTTAGCTTAATGTCATTTGTGAAATAAGCTAATGGATGTTCGCTCTTGTAAGCCCAGTTCGGGTAGGAGTTTGAGAAGTTGGAATACAGATGATAAGTTTCAACGGTACTGTCAGTATCGACTTTTTTGTCACTGAATCCTGATGCCCCGTGAGTCATTGCGATTTGTTGAGCATTGTAGATGATCTATTTATGAAATGATGTTTAGTTTAGTGATTACCAGGCTTGTGAAATCAGCAAGTTTCTCGGTAAAGTGGTTTTGTAATTGAACATTAGTAAGAAAATTTTTATGTGCCACGAACACGCAAATAGATTTTTGATAATTTAAGCAAATGTTTTTTGTAGCCGTTAAATCGTCGACCATAGACTCTTTATTTAATTTATAGTACTAAGTGCTCCATTGATTATACGTTAAAAACATGAATTTACCTTTAAATAAAACACTTTCTCGATCAACAATACATTTTCTTTTATACGGTTAACGTTTTTCGTTTCTTTATTCTTTTTGTAACGTACCTATAATGCAATCTTAGCAAGGTCGTTTAACTACATAAATTCATTTTGTTTATGTAAATAAAATTGTTTAATAGATAAAGAAATTTAAAGCAAGTAAAGCAACAAAATTACCTATCATCGTACAGAGCACGAAATAAGAGTGTCACGACTAGATTGCAACGCATTACAATAGGGTAATAGAACAAATAGATAAAAAGAAAAAAAGAAAAAAAAAAAAAAGAAGAATGTTTTTGTCCCTTATCGTAGGTGGCGAAGGATATCGAAGGTAAGAATACAAGTCGACCATTACCTTGGAGTCGAAGAAAGCATTGGGGCAGATTTCTGAGATGTATGGGAAACTTATGAACTTGCAGTCGTCGCGAGAGGAGATAGCGGAGATTAATGCAGTGGTGAAAAGGGCCGGATTCATGTGTATTCGGGCCCAGGCTGCAGTCTTGTAGAAAGTGCTGAAGTCCTTTGCCGCGTAGAAGAGCCGATACAACGACACCAATTCATCGCGATGTTCTTGGTTGTAATACGTGAACAGGGCATCCTTATGTAGGAAGCCAGCCTTGTAGCGGCACATGAATTCCTCAACCACTTCCTGAAAAGTAAAAGTAATTAGGAGATTCGTAGTACGAGGTCACGTAAGCTGCTTCAACGCATTAGATAAAACAAGAACAAAAAAAAAAAAAAAAAAAAAAAAAAAAAAAAAAAAAAAAAAAAAAAAAAAAAAAAAACGAATCAATCGTTTTAATTGTTACCTACCTATTGTTGCTCATTATAATATACGCGTACGTAAGAACCAGGATGAAGCGATGATATTAAGGTGTTAAACATCAGGGTGTCGGAGGGATTGGGCGGGGCTCAACCCAGTCGCATTATTATTGAGTTTTGAGAGATGAGCGGAAATACAGGAGAAGAGGGCAAAGGGATTCTTACTCGGTTCGTGTAGTAGGCGATGTGGCTGAAGATGTCATAATTGTGTCCTGCAGCAAAATACTCGGTATCGGTGAATGGCTGGCTCACGTATAAAAATAGATCATAGATCTTTTTCTGATTGATAAGCAGATCACCGTCCGCGTTCGACGACTTGTAGGTGTACCTGCTGGCATTGACCGTTGACAGGCTCACCGCCACCACGGCGAACAGGAGACACTTTTTCAGCATCTCTCTCATCTTCTCCCTCTCTCTTTCTCTTTATCTATCTATCTCTATCTCTATATATATATATATCTCTCTCTCTCTCTCTCTCTCTCTCCTTCTCTTTCGCGCGGGCTCTTCTCCTCTAGTTATTTCACTGCCAAAACTGGCATGTCAATGTAATGGACCATATGATCGGTGTGCTTATATACTCTTACATCCGACGATAACTTGTCAATCTTCTGACGTTTGACCCGAACTTAAGGTGATAGCGAGATAAGGAATAAAATGAAAAGTGAAGTTTAAATTTTTAAACTTGAATGTCGTTTTTTCGTTATTCACTAATTGTACATTGCCACATTCTAGCTTTACGCAATACATTGGCATCAGTCCGATACCATTTTATTTATCACCTTTGTACTTGATATTGGAAGGCGTAGGATAAGGCGTAGGATGGTTACCTAAGTGAAAATGCTTTGCGACTGCGATTCGCAATCACTTTTGGTAATTGTGCGACTTTGTGATTTTGCATTCTTACACTTCCGATAAATTTTAGTCTGTCCCACCCCTAACATGAAAAGAAAACATTGTCATTCATTCATTTAACAATGATTAGCAAATTCCAAGAACATTGATTATGGAAGAATATTTTATGACGGCTAAAGGATAATGTCCTTTTACTCATTATTATTATTATTATTATTATTATTATTATTATTATTGTTATTATTGTTGTTATTATTATTATTATTATTATTATTATTATTATTATTCTTGTATTCTTCTGATAAAGGTCGCTTATAATGTAAACGATAGTTTCATTTTCTTTATGAGGTCTAGTAAATTAATAGGAATTAATTCGAGGAATTACTAGAACGTTACTTTTAAAAAGTCTTAAGAATTTAAATCCATCCGAGTAGATTAATTGTTCTCTAATACTTGTTCATTCGAAATCTGATGGTCTAAATTTAATTTCTTAGATTAATTTGGATAAAAATGAAAAAAACAATTTCCATTAAACATTTACGAATATGGGTTATGTATTGTGTTTCCCAATTGAATCCCAATTGATCTAAATTATGACTAAAAACAAACAATTTTGTGTGATATTTATAAATACATAATTGAAATTAGGTGAATGTAATTTTAAGTATAAACGATATCTCGCATACTTTGTCACTTTCACTATGTATTTTCAATTAAGCTTTTAAATAAGCAATTTTTATAATACATTGAATTCTTATCGATTGGACGATTTAATTTCAATATTCATATTTATAATATTAAAATTTTAGTAGTAGAGTAATAATGATTTTTTTTTTTTTTTTTTTTTTTTTTTTTTTTAATAAAAATAACGATGTTTTTGTAACTATTATTTGGAAATTATTTTTAAATCAATATTTATGGAATTGAATAAATTGCGATAAATGAAATAATATCATTTTCATGTTTTCATACGTTTGTCAATTTTAATAAGTTTTTAAACAAAATTTGTATATTTCATTATCCACTAATATCTATCAATTAATGTTTTTATTTAAATAGGTAAACAGAAAAAATATTTCGATTATCAAAAAATTCTTTTAAATTTAATTTAACGATAACAATAATAATATTTATCGGTAAAAATTCACCACAATTGATCTTTGAAATCCAATGTATTTTCTTACTTTGAACATCGGGGATTAAAAGGATTTTGTAGGACTATTTATTTTACCTACATTAAATACTGTAATATTTGTTATATTAAACATTTATACATTAAATATTTATATTATACAGTAATCTTCAAAATGAACGTCAGCCTATGTATTTTATAAAGATATTGTGAAAGGATTATTATATCAGATTAAATATTTTAATTTAAAAATTCTATTATTTTAATAATAATTGAAAAATATATAAAGCACATTTTTATATTAAAAACAAAAAAAAAAAATTATATTTAAGATAAAATTGTAAATTGTCAAAACATTATATTTCAAATTTTAAATTTATATTTGATTAAGATTAATCAATGTTGTATTGCATATCTTATGATTGCTTAATATTTTTTCAAACATTGCATATTTGCTATCTAATTTTTATTTTTGAAATTTGTCCCGAGGTTAAATATTTAAATAATTCTGTATAATATATGTAATAGTATAGTTTTACAAATTAAGATTTAATTTTGATTTTGAGTATTTCTGATTTTAATTCATAATAAATAAATGCCGAGAGTATTTTATTAAAAAATATACTAATTATTGTGAATAATGATTTTTTTTTCTTAGATATTTAATAGAATAAAAGTTTCAGTGTTTTGCAACCGTTTTATTCAATAAAAATTAAGTTAATTAGTCATTATTAATGATTATTACGCATTGTAAAAAATGTCATATTGCTATTAGATTAGATGGCAATTAAAATTTTTTGATTTTTTGATTTTTTAAAAATAATATTCAATAATATGCAAGATAATTATTTTTTTTTAAGATAAAATTATTATTTTGAGAATAAAAAAAGGATAAGATAATGTTTATCTAAATCTGAATAAATATTACTTATTTTGTAATTACATTTTTAGGATGCATACAATAATTTTTTTTTTTTTTTTTTTTTTTTTGATGTGTGTGTCATGTATTTGAAACTTATGTAATAAACACTTTTTTCTAATTTAAGACAAATTACTTATCTAAAAAGTAAGAATTTTACTTTATTTAATTAACGTTGTAAGATTACTTTCAATTGACCTGGAAGATTTTGTGATAATGTGATGTATAATGTACATCGTAATAAGATAAGCGATAAGAAATGAGTTTTATTACTAGTTTTGTTAATGAGATTAATAATTATAATTAATCGAATTGAATCAATAAATAGATCGTTATATTGATTCGCGTATTAAAGATATTTATGAATGATATAAAAGAATTTATGAATGATATAATTTAAGAAATAAACTTTTTAATTATAATAAACTTTATCATAATTTTCTTGTATAACAATGTTGATAATGACTCTAGTGAATATTGTATTAATCCGAGTATACTTAAAGTGCAAAATTTTAGAAATTGTATTGAAATATTATATAATATTTTTTTCCTTATTCATAATAATTACTTTTATGTTTTAGATTAGAGAATTGAATAACAATATTGATATACAACAAAAATGATAAAAAAATAATTACTTAGATAAGATTAAATAAGCTTGTATGAATAATAATTTAAAGTAAATTACATCTTTTTTTTTTTTTTTTTTTTTTTTTTAAGATCTTATCACAATTATTGAAAAAAAGTGAAAAAAAATCATTTTATTAATTGCAATAAGAATATTGAAATTCTTAATACCGACATACTTGTACCGTTTGATTGAGATAAATTTTAACATTTGCAGGTATGGTATTATATTGGTATTAATACGAAATTTTATAAAACTTTGTCAATTCTTCTAAATATTTAATTAAAATTATTTCATTTTATGAGGATACATTTGTTGTTGTTGTTGTTGTTGTTGTTATTATTATTATTAGATTTAGGCAGTTTTTAATATCAATGAGTCATTGTTGCTTATTGTACGTCTATTTTATGAAATATTGCTATAGATAAGCGAATGGAGGATAAATAAGGTAGGCGATGCAGTAGTATAGGAATCTGCCTTTAATCTTCTTTTTCATTTAAATTAAAATGAGATAAGGTGGGTGTGGCTGTTTAACAGAACGATATAAATTTGTTTCCACTTCATTGTAATATTCATAAGCTACGGGATATAAGATAATTGATAAGATATCTTGTTGATAACACAAGGATCGTAAAAATAACGCGTTAAGATGACTTGAAATACTTTAATTAACATAGAAATGGGAGTTGATGTTCTTGATCTGTAGTATAAATAATAATGGTAATGATAATAAAAATTATAGTAGTTATAGATTATAAATTACATTCGTTTTGTAAACATTTTTACATCGAATTACATATTCATTTATATAATTTACTACATATATTATTATGAATAAATGAATTCTTCGAAATTTATTACATTTTTATTTTCAAATATCTTAAGAAGAAAAAGTATTTAAAAATTTTATTATTCCATGTATTTATTTTGTGTTTATTAATCATTATATTGTTTTTACGAGTCAGCACCAAATAACATTAAAAATGAAGAAATTTCAAGAATAATTTTTAAAACTAAATTATTGATTGGAGTATTATATAATTTGGAAAGTTTCATATTATTATTTCATGAAATAAATTACAATTTTCACCGAATCATATATTCATATATTAATAGATACATAATTTCATTTTTTTATAAATTATATTTTAACTATTTTTCCGCAATTACATTTATTAAAATAAAATTGATGGTAAATGCAATAAATAGCGATTTGAGATAATCGATTCATATTATTATTATTATTATTATTATTATTATTATTATTATTATTATTATTATTATTATTATTATTATTATTATTATTATTATTATTATTAGAATAACGATGTAATTTTTTAATTGAATAAAGCCCGACGTGTTAAATTCTATTAAATTTCAAATACGTTTCAGTGTAATATTCAAAAGAGAATGTAGTGTAACAGGAAATATTATCATACATTAAATGATTAAAAGAATAATTCAGGACAGATGTAGTAATGTTTATATTATAGAGTTTTTCTCACACTATGATATTTTTCATATTTACCGTGGAGTAATTGAGAAAAAATATTTATTAAATTAAGCGTATTTCATAGACTTCGGTGTACTTTGCGATTATGGGGGAAAAGGTTCGGGCGATGCATTGTCATCATAAAATACAAACAAAAACTTTGTTTTAAATCGTTTGTTTATTTTTAATTTATATATAATTAAAAATAATTCCTAATGAAGGAATCATCGATAATTAATTTATATTAATAACGAAACAAACATTGTAAGTCTTGTAGAAATTTCAGTGCTTATACTCTCCAAAGGTACTTTCTGCTCTCTCTTTTCGATGACCTTAATATTGATGAGTGTATTTGTAATCGTAGTCATTTGAGTGGTAAATGAAGACATCCTTGAAGTACAAGTTGTCAAGTTGGAAGAAGTATGGGTTCATTGGTCGGTCGAGCGGGAAGCCCAGGGACTTTCCGTAGTAATTGTATTTGCCGAAGATTGGCAATTCGAACATCTTGGGTTCCTCGTACGGTCCAATGTAGAAGAACATCTTGAACCTCATTCCCTCGGGTGTACCTTTAGGTAGGATCATGTTGGACGGGAAGCCCCAAATGCGCTCATTGTAGGTGAATGGCTCGTTGCCTTCGATGGCCTTTTGTACTTTCCTGTAGTAGGTGTCACCGGTCAGGTATTCGGACTTGTATAGGAAAAAGTCGCTGCTGTGACGGTCGAAGTTGTTCATTCCAGTCTTCACTGTTTATTAAACATTAAAAAATGTTCATTAATAAATTTTTGGCTCAGCTGAATTTAAACGAGTTATACGAGCAACGACATTCTATCATTTAGCCAATGTTTTTTAAGAAAAATTTGCAGTGATTAAGTATTAAAGCTACTCTACACTAGAAATAAAAATAACATTGCATCTCAGTGAAATCGGACTTACAATTAACTTCGAATTCGTCGAGCTGGAAGAAGTATTGGTAGTTGTTGATGAAGTATGAGTATTGATCGAATTTCTCTCCTTCAAATTCAGCTGGTCCCAAGAATATGCGCACGACGCCCTTCGTGTCTTTGTCGCTGTTAATGTTGAACTTGTAGCTGAATGGTCTGTGGTTGAGAACAGGTTGTGAAGCTTTGATGTTGAAGGACCTGCCCTCTTTGAAGCTTCCGACGGAAACGGCGTTGTTGATGTAGTAATCTCTGTTTTCGAAGTAAGTGTAGAGCTTGTCAACTTCCACACTTTCGAACCTCACTCCCGAGAATTCCAGTTCGCTCTTAGTGTAGCGGTTGAGCAGTGACTTGTATCTAATCAACGGATAAAAATATGAGTTAGAAGACTGTTCTCATCTCTCAGATTAATCTGTAATTGTGGCGTCCAAGGTAAGTCACAATAAGCCGAACAACGCTAACGTCAAAGGAATATATAATTTGACAAAAAAATACAAATTCGATATTCCAACATCGCTACTGTTGATCGTAATACCTCACCTGTAGAAGAAGTTGAGAATCTTCGCATACAATCTGTAGAAAGCCGGGTCTCTGATACTGGTAGAGAAGTATTGTAAGGAGCTTGGTACATTGTAGTTTTTGTATTTGCTGTCGAAGCTCATGCCGAAAATTTCACGGGCGAGAACATCGAAGGAACCATAGTACTTGAGATTGAAGGAGTCGTAGTTACCTTCAATGATGTTACCAAGGTAGTTAAGACCTTCGGGTGTGTTGAAGCTGACCTGTTTGCCACTTTCATCATAGAAGTATCCAGAGTCGATGGCCTCGTATATGCGGATTTCCAATTTCTGAATGTACTGCAATCAAAGTATTATAAAGTCACCTATCGGACAATGCAGCTTAGAGAATTATAAAGCCTTTCAAGATACATTTCACGATTACTTTTTTTTTGTTTTTGTTTTTTTGTTTTGTTTTGTTTTGTTTACCGATGAGAAGGAAAAGTTATATATATGTTGGGAAAGTGAGTACCTCGACGTAACGAGATTTGTACGATGGAATGAAGTTCCACCAGTCACGACTGGGCATGAAAACACCATTGAAGTATTGAATTTTAGAGTTGTATGCGGGCAGATACATTTTATTCCAGCTGAAGTCTTCCAGATGTTTAAATCCGTTAGAGCTTCTTTCGAGGTAGTATCTGTTCATCAGCTGCTTGTGGAAGAAGTAATAGAAGTCACCACGGATGCTGCTGGCCATATTGTATTCCTTGGTGTTCACCCAGAATGGGTAGGTCATACGGCTGTAGTAGTAGTAGGCGTTTAAATCAACATTTTCCGTGAAATAGGCAAGTTTGTATTCTTCTCCGTAATATGAGTTGGAGTAGAACTCGTAGTCACTGAAGTTGGAATAGACATAGTAAGTCTCCATGCTGTCAGTGCTTTCGCCGTGCTTCATGCCAACATCGTAACCGTGGAAGTGACCCCCACGGCTCATTTTCGCGTGGAAAGCATCATAGATCACCTTGATAATAAAATAAACATTATATATTAAAATTAATATTATATAGAATGAGACGCAATATTTTCATTTTCATATTTTCGTAATCGGGCGATTGTCGAAAATTACGTTAATTATTGGGTCCAATAGAAAGAAAGCTCTATTGTAATTAATTGAATTTCAGATGCATAGATCGCGATGGACAGTTTTGGTAACGACTATTCATTAAAATGTTTTTATTTAATTTAAAGAAGCGATTCGTACACGAGTGCGCGCAATAATAATTAATTTTTTTTTTTTAAGACGTACAGCGTATATATTCAGCGTATGTTAATTATTGAATAAACAATACAGGTACAATGGGAATATCAAGTCTATGTAAAGTATTAGGAATATTGTTAATTAATCTTAATTAAATTTTGAACGCTAACAATAACGTATTTCTTACAATAGCATAATTCTTATTACACTGGAATAATTTTATTACGTGAGCAATGGTTGGTTGTATATGCACATTGTTAAGTTTAGTTTAACTATTTAATACAAAATTTACTTTAGATAATATTACGTTACATCCATCAATTGGTAAAAAGTTAATATATATCGACAATGTTTAAATAGTAGATTATTTATCACAGAAATAAAGATTTACAATGAGATTCTATTGAAAATTACATCTCCATAGAAATTAATTCAAAATTAAAATGGAAAAGTATAATGTTTGAATCTACTCGTATATTCAATGACAATAATAAAAACAACAACAATACCAAGTATAATAATAATAATAATAATAACAACAACAACAACAACAACAATAACAACAACAACAACAACAATTATTGTTATTATTATTATAAACTGTCGTAAATTTGAAGATAGTTATTACGATTTTTTTGTCATGTAGTATGGATCAATATTCCGGATACAAATACTCCAAACGTTTTTTAAGTATTTTTTAAAGAATTATATGAATAAAAAATGAGAATGCACGAAGATTGTCGATCTATCGAAAACATATTCAATGATATTTCTCGTATTTAATTATGTGTATTTGTGATTTTTTCGTATAAATAATTAATTACTTCGTGATTTGATAAAGATTTTAAAATGAAGAATATTCTAACGTATCATTTCTATTACACTTGATTCGCATTCTCGTTCGTATCGGTATAACTACATAATGGTGCAGGTCGTTTATCGTATTGTAACGCCAATGTCGCTTGTCCCGTAAAAAAAAATAATTAACTTAAACAGCCTTTATTATTATTATTATTAATATTATTATTGTTATATAGGTAGGTAATGGTAATCAAGTATGGTAGAATGTGGACTTGGAGAGAGCTTAATATGTCGTTAGTCTGATTTTCGTGCAAGTCAAGTGTCGACTCGTCAACTGTCCTTAATGACGTATGACAGAATGGGGTAGAGAGTCACGAAGCGATTTGTTTACCTTGGAGTTGAAGAAAGCATTGGGACAGATTTCGTAAATGGCTGGCAAGCTGATGTATTTGGTGTCGTCCCGGTAGAACACGGCGTTGGAGAAAGCTGTGTAGAAGAGACCGAAGTTGAGGTAAATGCGACCCCAGGCTGCAGTCTTGTAGAAGGTGGCAAAGTCCTTGGCGAAGTAGAGAAGACGGTAGAACAGCATCATCTCTTCGCGGTGCTCTTGGTTGTAATACGTAAAGAGCGCGTCCTTGGAGAGCGTGCCAGTCTTGTACAGCGTCAGGAATTCAATGACAGCTTCCTGGAAATTCGTTAAAATCGCTTTTATAACGACGAGATTCGCGATTAATCAGCTAGCTGACTTTTGGATTTCAAATCCTTACGACGGATTATCACGTTTTTCCATAAAATTTACGTCCACATGGTGATGGTCTACTTGTTCTCTATCAAAACTATATAGATCGCGAGCGCATGTATATAAAATAACTTGCGGTCAAATCGTCGATTAAGCAGCGAATATACCGATTGACGTCTAATAAGCAATAAGTTAATTTCCATAGCACCGGCCATTAATAATAAACAATAGGGATAGTGATATTGAAAGATATTAAGATGCTCGTAATCACGAGGATCTTATGGGCAACACAGATGTAACGGGCATTGAGAAAAAAACGATCGAGGCTTAATTAACCGATTGGCTAGCCGGGCGCGAATGGAGCAGGTGAGCAGTGGAACGTACCCGGTTGGTGTAGCGGTCAATGTTGCTGGCGACATCGTAGTTGCGTCCAATCTCGAAGTACTCAGTGTCGGTCAGAGCATTTTGCTGCGCGTACATAAAAAGGTCGAAGACCTTCTTCTGCTTGTGTAGGAAGTCGAGGTCCGCGGTCTTGCTGTAGTAGCGACGGGCAGGATTGACGGCGGTCGCCGTGACCACGGCCAACAGGACGAAAACGATGCAGTTGCGCATCATCCTTGATGATTTTGCGCTTGACGTACGAGATGCAAGCAACTCCCTTCGGTCTGAGAGGGCGGCCGATTGACATTGGTGTCGCGAGTTTCGGCTTTTATACTCGCCGGAATTAGCGGTGGCCGTGAGATTATTCCGCTTCAGCGTTCTCTGACCCCTGACCCTCGTGGCGACTATCCATTTGCATCAAGGAGCACCGCGAAGAAGAAAAAAGAGAATCTCTCTCTTTTTCGCGCTCTATTGACGCTGCTTTAGCTTAAAGACGATACATATTTTTTTCTCTGTATTGTCGTCGTACGATGCCGTCATCAGCCATTTTCTCCGTCTATGTGGTTCTTGCTAGCCACTTACGTTCAACTAATTTCTAGGTAAAAAATCATTACACAATGCCCTACGAAGTGCCTGTAATTCTGCCATTTTTAACGATACATTATACTCGACATTTTGTAAATTGTTCGATTTAATAGAAATCGCGTTTTTTTTTTTTTTTTTTTGCTATCATACTGGGTCAGAGTATAATTTACCGTCCTTTTGACATTTCTGAATTTATAGTAAATCTGAATAATAATTACTTCACTTTCCATTTATCGTTGCAATTTCTTGATATCGGATCAATTATTGCACGTATTTTTATATCAAATGAGCAATTATTATGATAATATACTTTATTCCTGTTTCCTTATGAATATTTGAAATGGTAACAAATTTAACTTATGGCATTTAATGTAAAATTTATAGACTTAATAATTTATAATAAAAAAAGGAAAGAGGAAAAAAAAATGATTTTAAGATTTACGAAATATTGTATTCAAGTTGTTAGAAAACATAGAAACAGATAAATATTATTAACAATTTCATTATTAATTCATAAGCAGATTTATGCAGATAGTCATGCTACATAGTAGATTTAGGTGTATTAAACGAATGCCAAAAAAAAAAAAAAAAATTTATATATATATATATATAAAACCTATTTTTCTTCAATTCATGCGTAAAATTGGCTATAAAATGTTGCCATCTATTACTTTAATCATAATAATTGACGAAAGAAGTATTATGCATTAAATGATAGAAATTCTATTAATATAATAGAATAAATTCATAATAGAAGATTATCTTTTCTTGAGGGAGCAACATTTCATAGACTATTTTTGTAAATTAGCGGTTGAACTTAAAAAAAACATATCGATATTCCGTCATATTGTACTTCAATTATGGCTAGGAAAGGCTGGACGATCATATTTAATTTACCTTTAGAGATTTAATATAATTTTTACAAATAGTTTACTTTATTCATTCTACATAGACTGTACGATTCTAAGAAATTTTAGTAGCACCTATTTTATGGAAGAAATTTCATCGTATCATCAATACTTTTAATCGTAAATTTTTATATTTGAACTTTTAAATTACATTGCCTTATCTACAATATTCTTATCATCTATATTTTTACAATTTTTAGGTAAAAACAAAATTTGTTATTCTCTGCTACTTTAATCTTCTCTAATAGTATCAGAAACAGAAAACCTACACTTCAATTATAGTTATATTAAACTTCTTGTTCAAAAAGTATTTTAATTTATTAATTATATTATAATTTTCTATATATATTTGCATTCGGTCATGCGAAGTTTTAGTTAAAATTAAAAGTTAACAGTGGCTTATAAGCTTTACATTATTAAAAAAAGTAAGTAAACGTTTGTATAACATTAATATAAATAAATAAATGTTTTATACTTTCATTTTCAGTATATATTATATTTTATATTTTTTAGATTAAATTATTCAATAGTATGATAGATATGCGCAAAAATTAGAAAAATATATAATTTAACTAATTAATATTTATGGCTCTCTAAGACTAAGGCCTTTCTTTTTATTAATTATGAATCTTATTTCTTTATAATAATGTTATTAGAATCTATAACTCTGAAAAATTTTTGTTTTTATGCAAAATAATGCACTTACAGATGTCATTGTGACAAGAAATCATATATATATATATATATATATATATATATATATGCATACATATATGTATATATGTTTAAGCGACTTTTAATTGTAAAAATATATTTAAATTTTTATTTTCGCCAAATACATGGTCGTTTTATATTTAATAATATATTAAGATAGTAAATTTTGTCTAATCGTAATAATTAAAGCTTGATGGTTAATAGTAGAGGTAAATATGTATTTTTAAATTTCAAATTTTATGAAAATAAATCAAAGTGTAATATTTACAAAATAATTATTTTAAATAATTGTTATTCCAAATTCAATTATATTGTCCTAATTATTCACAATATATTAATACTTTTTAGTCAACGCACACTGTTTGCATTATATATCTATATGCAATTTAGATTTGTTGCATGAATATTTTACTGAAACTTTAATGAATTTTATGAACTCACATATCATATATCATTATTTATTTCTAATTCATTTGTGTTTATATTATATTCAGCTTTCATATTACTTTATATTACATATATTATATAAATTGGAAGAATATAAAATATTTTGATGGATATTAATTTCTGTATATATTTGAATTACGATACATGTGAAAGAATTTTTAATACAAAACATTATTTATTCGTGAAAGTAGACAGAATTAAATAATTTTTTTATTTAAATTAATAAAAAATCAATAATAACCAATATAAGTATAAAAATTTTACTTCAATTATAAAATTTGTAAATTTTGAAAAATATAATTAAAAAATATCGATAAATATTAAACATTCGTAAATTTATTCAGTAGCGAATATATTTTCATTTGAATTAAATACTTAATAATTTTATTATGTATTCCACAATTTTAGTTCATATATTCCATCAAATATTTGTTTGCGGCGGCAATAATTTTAAATTTAAGCATTGTTATCACTTACATTATTAAAAATTAAAATCTAAAAACAGTTATCAATCCATAATAATTCATCTTCACTGTATTTATAAATTGCTTTGATTTTCGGATATTATAATAATTTTATTGTGGATTGATCAATCGAATACTTATTTGAATGTAAACATAATACTGATTAAGTAACTTTTAAACAATTAAAATTTTACTAATAATTCATAAAGACAAAATATTAATAATATAAAATAGAAAATGATTTTTTTAAATAAATATATTTTTTATTTTAGAGATATGAAGTATAATCAAATCATTCGTTCGTGAAATTTAAAGTATTTACATTTGCTACCGGAAACGGAATTCCATCATACTAAATTTCAAGTTCAATGTTAATTTTATTTAATTCTTTAATTTTAATTTTTTTTTTTTTACTTAATTTAATTATTTAAATATTAAATTGTAAATAAGCAATTATAAATTGTATAAACGCATGTTGAAAGTAATAAAATAATAATAAAATGACAAATAATAAAGCGAATTTTAAATGATTAACGAGAAATAAGAGAACTAACATTGTCATGTAATTTACAGCATATTCATATAAATTATTATTTAATACACAAACAAAGAACTTATGAATTACTATAAAGTGTTAAGCTTCTGTTTATTTGGGAAATATTTTGAATTATTGTTTTCAAAATATAATTATTGTCAAATAAAGCATTCACTGTTTTATTTACTGTATATAATATATTGTGATAATTTATATTTTAATTTATTCATTCAATAACGTGCAGCATCTACTTATTTATAATCATGTCTTTTTCCTTTTTAGCTTTAATTATACTTGGCAAATTAAAAAAAGTTTGCAAAAAGTAAAGAATTTAAAATGTCTTATGCAAACACGTTGCATTATATATACTTGATATTTTTTCAATTTTTGCGAATCACTTATGTAAAAATATTCATATGACATACTTATGCATATTACCTGCTTCATTATTATTTTTTTTTTTTTTTTTTTTTTTTTTTTTTCTTAAAGTAATAGCAATACTAGATGATAAGTACTCATGTATATATACATCTGTGTATATTTTTCGAATTCTATAGTATTCAAGAAAAATTAAATATTTGATAGACTTATTTAAAAGTTAAAGTTTAATGCTAATAATACGTGAAAATATTTAACTAAATTTTTGAAAACATATAATGAAAATATATGTGAATTATATATTTTATAATTCCGCTTAAAATATCATAGTGAATAAATTTTAAAATCTTTAAAAATTATTATTCCAAAATTATGATTCAAATATTTTAAAATGCTGCTTCTATATTCTAAAATATAATTTCAACAGTCTACATCATAAAAATAGTTTTTCGAATATAAAAATACAAAAGTTTTTATGTAACATAAATATCTTTTGCGATATGTTTTTATAGTAAAAATTTCACTTTTTAATGTTTAAAAATATTTATAGTAAAAGCAAAATTTCTAATTTAAATGCTCCTTCAGAATTCTATATTTACACACACACACACACACACACACACACACACACATATACACAGAGAGAGAGAGAGAGAGAGAGAGAGAGAGAGAGAGAGAAACAGATATATGTATATACTACGTAGAGGAATAATAAGTTATAGCAGATATCAAATTATATTAAAATATTCAAGCATCGATATTAAAGTGAAAAGAGTTCACTCAAAAAACTTCAAGTTTTTATGGCTTTTTATTTTGTTTTTAATAAAGAAACAAAATAAATTGTTAAGGACCACTCGTATGTGGATAAAAATTAGAATATAATGAAAGATATTAAATTTTTAAATATTTTTACCATCACTTACATGCATTTTTCATCGACTTTTGCAACAAATCTTTAATATTGAAAAACAACTCACTAATTTTGTTTTTCTTATTTTCATTTTTTAATCTTATTTCGCTTTATATCTTAACTATTATGTAATGCTTGAATATGATTATTTAATAGTATCGTTTTATTTTCTATAAATAATTAATATTATTTTTTATTTCTCTGCACATACATTAGAATATATGTATTTTCAGCATATACGTGCACATACAAATAAAACATTGTAAGGTAATGATTTATATACATTTAATCATAGTTCAGCTGAAAGATGAACCAAAGTGACGCATTATATATATTGGGATACATTATTATTATTTTTTTTATTCTTCATGGTATATATATATATATATATATATATATATATATATTTTTTTTTTCGTTTGAAACAAAAGGTTTCAAAATTTTCTTTCATTTATGATAATTTATAAAATTGCAATAGTTTCGAACAGCATGATTTTATGGCATATTAATTTACTTATCCTACATATTACGTGTTATCTAATTGAGACAAACAACTTATTTAAGATGTACCAAGGATCTAATTTAAAACTTATCGCGATTGTTGGAAAAAACCAGAATTTCAATGGGTCACGTGATGATAATCCAAAACGCAAGGTCAATTATAATCTAACCCTCAAAGAAGAGAATTATATAAGATTACGATGCTTAAAATGAAGTGAAAAATAAGATGCATATGTAGGCGGACGACAAGGCATTAAATATAATTCGACAAAAAAAGCTTCCAACTGAACAACAAAATAAGATAGAGGTGAGACGCTTATAAATTCAAAAGCGGCTGCTATCCGCATCTCTCACTTGATTGCTTAATTTTACACTAATATTTTCTTTATCGCTCGACCTTAAGAAGTAAATATCGCTTCGCTGCTAAATCTACTGAAAAAATTCGCTATAATAATAAGCTCGTCGATTACGGTATTCGTATGTGCGAAATTATATTGAGATTGCAGTAATATCTTTAATTATTCTATAATCTTTCAATACTTAGACATTTTTTTGTCAACATCAGCGATAGCTTTTTCACGCCAAGTATTATAGAAAAAAATTTAATAATTATTACGTTGCATTTCTTCCGTTACGGAAGATATGTACTTGTCTGAACGATTATTTAGTTATCTCGTTAATTAAATTATAAATCTTGTAATTAAAGAGGCTTAAAATTTTGTCTTTTTAATAAAGTCATGACTAAAACAGTTCAATCAAATGCCATATTATATTACACTTAGGTGGGTATGAAAAAATTAAGTAAATTGTTGCTCTATTGGCGGAGATTTGGAAATTAAAAACGATATGGTCGATATGTATTTTATTTATTCTAATGATAAGTAATATATTGTAATATAAAAGAATGTAAATATGTAAGAATTTTAATAGGATTGAATAGAATTATTAGTGAAAGTAAACAAAGTCTCAAATTTCCTTAATTTATCATAAATTATATGCTAAGAAATGTCCTTATGATCATTCCATTCGGAATATAAATCATTATTATAAAGTATTTTTAATAAGACCGACACTGCAGTTAGTACATATTTTAAAATATGACTCGGTTCATCACAATGATTTACTGTTTAAAATATGCATTAATATCTCTTTATATAAGCAATAAATTTATTAATATTTAATGTAAAAGTAAAAATTTAATCATAATAATAGCAATGATTGATAAGTGTAACGAGCCACTATTTCACTATCGCATTATTAAAATAAATAACTAAATCAATGTACATGAATTAACATTATTCAGCCATCTTATACTAATTATTTTATAATAAATTTTTATCGGTTAATTATATATTTATAAATACTACTGTAAACTCGATAATAATTAGCTAATATTAATACCGTATACTATTAATTGTATAGAAATGTATTATAATACATATGGAAGATAAAAAAAAAAAAAAAAAAAAAAAAAAAAAAAAAACAATAAATACAAGGATTATGTAGCAATATTAATTATTTTCAACTTATATTATATATCTATTTTTATTATAATTTATATAATAATATGATTTAGAAGAAAGAAAAATTTCAAAGAATCATCTGATCTTACAGAATAATATTAATAATTTCACTACGGTTGATTTTAATTCCTATATAAATTGATTTAAAAAATAGATGTATTATTTGTATTCATATCGCTTTATGTAACTTTAAAATCGCTACTGCTAATAAGAACATTTAAATAATAATCATTTTATAATTATCAAATGGGATTGATTACATTAATGTTTTCAGATGTTTACCGAAAAAATTAAATTTCTTCATCTTATCACCACTAATAAATACATTTATTAAAGTAGTTATAATTGTTTTTATATTTTATAAACGGTCGATGCATAAATTGGTTTATTATACAGTTATTATATTTATTAAAATTATAAACGTATGCGTTGAATGCTTTCAATCCAACAAAATGTTGATATCATTTCAGATTATTAAAAATGTATGTAATTTAAAAGCAACTGTGAGGTCGATAAATTATTTAGATTTTTTATAAATTTTTTTTGCATATCGTTAAACTGTATATGTTATTTTGAAATTAATTATAAAAATACTCATTGAAAAATGTTTACAATCAAGATTTTGATTGTTTTTATTGTCAATTGTACTCAAGCATATAAACAATTTTTCATCGATATGTATTAAATAAATGGCAAATGTGTATGTATATATATATATATATATATATATATATATATATATATATATATATATATATATATAAATACATATAAATGATTATATCTAAAATGTTAAAAATCACTTTTTATTCAATTATTAAATTTATTATCGATTTACGTATTTCATTACATCAATATAAATGAATATGTTTTCAATATTATCAAAATTCTTTAATATTTAATAGATTAAAATACAAAAATACAACATAATGGTTTTACATATTTATTTTCTTAACAATGTGTAAATGTACAAGCAGAAAATGTATAAAATTAACAACCCTTCGATTGCATATCAAATTAATTACGTTATTATATTACTCCAAAAGATATATCTTCAGCGTATAATTTTCATTTATTTATTAATTTTTTCGTGAACAAGTAAAGTTTTTACTATTTTATTCGGAAATAAATCTTGTATGAGACGATACATCTGTTGTATGCTTTATGATTATTTTTTAAGCATTGAAGAACGATGAAAGTTAACAAATAGAAAAGTGAGAACTTTGATATTTTACAAAGTTTTTGTACATTAGAAAATATAAGTCTCTTTAAAACAAATATTTATAATTACAGTTTAATTATTAATTTGAACTGCTAAGAGAAGCATCATCATCAGATTTTCCATTTTCAACGTCTTCCTGCATTTGCTCTCTATCTGACGTTTCTGCCCAGTTGTCATCTGATTCACTACCCAATTCCACTTTACCAACATCTATATCTTCTTCCGATGAATCTATAATATAATATAAAAATTGAGTTAGCATATTTAATATTGGTAACGTATCGAACTTGTCTCGGTAATACATAAAATTAGCTTTGTTTTAAAATTTATTTAAAATTTAAGTTTCAATATACCTTGGTCTTGATAAACTAACAAGCATTCTTCTGTAACATCTTTCTCTTGTTTTTCTATACGCTGTGAAATCTGGCCCGTAACAAGCTCTACTCTTCCTTTTAACCTTGTTACTTCTGTTAAAAGCATTTGTTTGGCATCGATCAAACTTAAAATAGGAGCTAATGCTTCTCCTATATTTGGATGGGAAATCATTTGTGCTGCATGAGTTGATACTAATGCTTTTAACCATAAAACCGCAATTTTACTTCTAAAATGACAATATATTATTTATTAATTTAATTCGTTATGTATGTATAAAGAAAACTTAATAAATATTATTGTGATATAATGTTTTAAAATTATTGCAATGAAATAAGGCAAATGAAAAACTATGATAAATGTAAGTAAAATCGTTAAAATTTGAAGCGCTATATATTGATTATTAAAATGAATAGTTGGTAAATAATTTTTAAGTTTTTAAGTAATCAATAATTAAGTAGACACAACGTCATTCTTACGGATAAGTTTTTCCTTGAAGCATTTTTGTGAGCTCTTTTAATAACGGTATTATTGCTTGCACCGGAAGTTTTGCCACAGTATTTTTTATTACACTTTCCTTTTTTACATATAAAACACTTGCAAGTAGATTGGCGTCTTCACTATGTAAACCTTGAATCAATAGCTGAGCCATATTTTCACCTTTGGACGTTGTTTTATCAGGTGTACTTGTTTCTGCGTTTAAACTCAAATTTTCTAATCTAACTTTGAGAGGAAGTTGTGAACCAGTGCCCGACTTGTTTCTTTTCACCGAAGGCAGTGCTCCTTCAACTCCTAATAATATAATAAAAATATTGTATGCCAAAATTCATAAAATATTTTGTTTTATCGATGAAAAATTAATATAACATTAATATAACATACCTGGTGCGAGATATTCTACTTTTTGACTATCTGCCATTTTTACTTTTGTAATTATTTCTTCTTTTTTGTCTTTTCCTTTTCTTAAATCTGTTCTTATTAGGCATTGTATTTTATCAGAAAAATTTGGTATAACTTTTTCAATTGATAAACCAGCGATTGTACCATATGCTAACATCATTTTAGCATCTTCTATTAATTCCGCTTTTATAATTGGTATTTGCTGTACCGATTCTTTTTGTCCAGCATCAGTAGCTACCAAAACGTTTAATGACGGCTTAATAGGTTTTGAAGATGTACCGTTTGCTTGATACTTAAAAAATTGGGCATGGCCCGAACGTGTTACAGATAAAATTAAAATTTGCGAATCTTCGACAGCTTTAATGGAAAATGAGAGGGCTTCATCGGGTAAAGTTAATGTCGCTACCGATACTTTATCTTTTTTTGCCTAAACAAACATTATAATAAAAAGTAAGATTAATTTCTTATATTAAATTGTGATTTTAGTGTTTTTTTCTCAATATTTTCAGAATGTAAAATTATTAAATCAAATTATAAAGATTCATATCTCCTTAATAATTATTTTAGCAAGTTATAAGATAATTAATAAGTTTCTTACTTCATTTAAAGACCAAACACTGAGATAATCATCTCCACTGCCACTGCTAAATAAATAACTGGTTTCGTTAGATATTTTTACACAATGCAATGCATTTAATTGGTTTGCATGGCCAGTAAATGTTCCAATAATTTGTTTAGTTTCTAAATCCCACCATTTTATCATTCGTTCTCCAGATAAAAGTGAATTTCCTTCAGGTAAAACTGCAAGTGATGTTACTTTCCCTTTCCCAGATTTCCATTTGCATTTTACTGATTTTTCATACAGATTCCATTCTACAATTTGTTTATCCTCAGCTACAGTAAATAGGGTAGAATTAGAAGACCATGTTAATGCTGTAATAGTAGAACTATGTCCATTTTGAAGTTGATCGCTAATTGATGAGGTAGATATATCATACAAAGTAATGGTTCCATTGGTAGAACCCATTGCTATAAATTCTTTTTGTTCTATATTTTCGGTTATAGACTTTTTTCGACGCTTTTTCCATGGTGATGTCTATTCGCAAGTACAAAATATATGGTAAGTATTTACAAATAATATTATAATCAAATAATCAAATGAAATAAATTTATAATAAATTTATTTATAAATTATAAATAAATATATAGTTAAATCCTTAATATTTACATATAATTAATCAATGAAAATAATTTGTTTTATATTGTTGCTTTCATGTTAAATATCCAAGATGAATTTTTTACTAAAGTAAAAATAATTTGTTGGTGCGAGATATATAACTTTGTTTAATTAAAATTAAAGCTACTTTCCATATTTATTAAATTCACACTAATTTATTTTAAATAATATATTAATTAATATTTTTATAAACTTATACTAATTTCACGGATATAAAATTAGATTATTATAAATTAATAATGTATTATTGTGCAAATACTATCATTGTCATTTAGATCTAAATGCACAACAGCTTAGAGTAAATAAGTATAATATAATTTATAATTATTAAGTATTGCAATGAGCTCAAGGGTAAGAAATTAATAAGTTGTAATTGTATTTCTTTATTTTAATTAATAAATGATTACAGAAGAAAGGTTTCTTACGTAGAAAATCAAATTATCATACTGTATTGCTTGTGAATCTGTAAAAATCATATGAAATTGATAATTTGAAATTCCAACCTACAAATTGTTACTTAGCGATGAATAATTATATCGTCATATTCCATTGTAAGCAATAAATGAATTTTCATTTTCTTTAATGCTAAATTATACGTACAAATTAACAATTCATTTGAATATTAGTTCCCTCGCAACAATCCTACTTTAAGAATTGTCAAAAAAAAAGAAGAAAAGCACATGGCATACCGAAGTAGTGGTAGACTGCGTGGAAACGGTGATCCATCCTAAAACGCTGCATGGCGATGAAAGGTGGAGATTTGGCACGAATTCTTGTTTTAAACGACTCGTTGCTGTTTCCCATATCCTTAATTTACCATCTGTACCGCAAAATGCAAAAAACTGCCCGTCCTGGGAGAATGC